TTTTGTGAACTCAGCAGATGCGATGCCTTGCAGCAGGTCACCGGGAGGAGTAGGCTCCAGCCCGCGGTGTCGGTGCTCTTCTTCCCTGCTGCTGCCATCTCTTGTGCACCCCTGGTGTTAAACCAGCACAGAGAAACCCAAGCAGTGTTGTTTTATTGCAGCTTGTCTCTGTGTGATGCTCCAAACAGCCTGGCTAATGACTATTCCTGACTTTGCTTATGTCTGCGTCATTTTCCAGAGGCTTCTGTGCACCTGCCATAGGAACTGCACGCTGTGGACCTAAAGCACAGTGCTGTACTAGGTTACCTGTCCTATCTTAACAGGATCCTACCAGGCTATTCATGGCCAAAATGCATTTGCTGGCTAGGAAATCAAGTACTTGATGAAAAACTGCAATCCTAAAATAAGTTGGCTGAAAAGGAAACCGTGATTTTGATCCAGAAATACAGAGCTCCTGGGGGGAACTGTACTTCTGCAGACGTCTCACATTGGATCGAGACCGCTCCCCTGAAGAGAGAGCCCCGCGGAGCCCCGGCTGGCACCGTCCCGTGGAGCGAGGCAGGGCCCTGCTCCAGCCGACCAGCCGGGCAGAGGGCCCAGAGCAAAGCCACCAGGTGCCAAGTGCTGTCAGCCTGTAAGAGGCTCAGCACCCGCAGTTTTGCTCTTTAGATTTAGTCCCAGGCTTGCCAGGTTTCCAAATGTAGGCAGAGCCGCAGGGGATGGGATAGAGCCTCCCTTGCTGCAGCTTAGTTGAGAACACTTTTTTTTTTTAATTTTTTTGGTTCACTCATAGAAATCAGTTCTAGCAGGATGGATTGTTGCCATTTTTCAAGAAGCTACAATTCAGCCATTTAAATGGGTAGAAATGAAATTCCTAAGGATATCAGGGAGGAAGAATGAAGTCAAAGGAGGATGATAGACTTGAGGATTTGAGTAGGACATTTTGTTACTGTTTGTTCTGATACCTCAAGTTGGGACTGGATAACATTTTTGTACAGAATGTTTTCAACTGAAATAATTTAATCCTAGCAAGATTTGAAAAATATGCATTCATTTTGAGTTATACAACAGATGGAGGCTTTAAAAATATATTATTTTTCTTGGATTTGTTGACATCTTGTTTAGAAAATTTTAATTGTCATTTTCTTCTGAAAACTTTCTATATTACATTGATGGGTCTAAGTTTTAACGTTGCCAAGAGATAAATATATATATTTAATCCAAAACTGTTATTTCAACATTTTTTTTTTTATTTTTTTTTTTTTTTTCCCCACTTCTCTGAATGATCGGTGATTCCAAAATACCATTTCTTTGCACTTTTTTTTTACTTGAAGCCAGTGCAGCATGGGTGAGTTCTTCAGTTCTTTGAAGACAGTTTCACAATCCAGAAAATTGAGATGCTGGGCAGGGAAGAAGACATCCTCGATCTGTTTCTTACTGATACTGAAGTGCAAATTGGAACTGTGACAACAAAGTCCAGTATCAGTTATAAAAAAAAATTGCAGTTGTGTATAGTAAGGGATGGGTTCATAGCTCACAAATAGACCGCAGGTTGCATATTAGAAAAATAATTGGAAAAGAAATCTACAGCCAGATCCTACAGTTCTAGTCAGTTATGTACAGTTATACTGTAATTTCAGGGAAGTTATTCTAGCTATTCTGATTTACAAGTACAAGTGAGATTAGAAGACTGAAAATGGGTATGATAGAATCAAAAGAGCTGCTAAAATATGTGAGTTATGAAGAAGACCAAAATATCCTGAAAGGCATTATAATACAGGATGATTACATGTCTCCTTTGGTGATTTTTTTCATATTGAATTTTGGACCATTTTCTTTTTTCCTTGGAGTGCCATAGTACAGGTTAAAGTGGAATAGCTGCATAATTTTGCAATCTCATGCTAAAGCAGCTGCATCTGTAACTCATTTAATGGAAGTTTTAACTTTTTTTTTTTCTTTTTACAGTATCGTATTTCAAACTCAATAAAGATAAACTCCAAATAATATCTGTATATCATGGAAGATTCAAACCCCTGCAACTGAGCCCGTATTCCCTAAAGTGCTTTTTATGAGCAGTGTTGTTTTAATCTGCTGGTAGAAGTAAAACCAAACATTTGCCAGTGTTTATATTTGCACCCCTGGGACAAATGATGGAGGAGCTATTTGCTCCAGTCTTTAATCAATTGTGGGTAAACAGCACTGGTATACGTTGATCGTCCATATTTTCTAATTGGTGCTTTTAGCTGTGAAGTCTCCTATCGTTCACCAAGGAGATTTACAACTGAGGGAGAGAGGGGAGCCACAAACACTTACCAGTTGTTCCTCTGATGGATCTGATTCAGCAGTGAATATGGCAAAAAGGGAGCGTGAGCTACAGCTTATTTGCAGATCAAAATGCAAAACATGGAAGATTTCGCTTGCTTCATTTGATGAACTGTTCCACAAATCTATACCTGCACTAACACCAGAGATGCATAAGCAATGCTAATGCTTGACTTAGCCCAAGCAAACCTATTTATTTTATGCAAGGTAAGTTCTTTGAACTGAGTCAGTCTGCCTCGTTCTTACAAGGAAGGGTTTGTAGGGTCCAGAGAGTTTAATTAATTTGTTTTTTTGCACGTCCTGCAATGGGTAAAGTGAAGGGTTTGTGCCAGTGTGTACAGAGAGCACTTAGTGTGAGTTAGAAGATGAATTTTATTGTAGCAATGCATCCAAAGTTATGCAGGACATTGCAAACTACTGAGCAGAGAAGAAGCACGTGAAGAGTGATGATAAAAATGGCTCGTGCTTTTTTTATTTATCTCATCTTGTTTGGCTTCCCTTGGATTCTCCCACAAAGCTCTGTAAACCTCAGTCACACCGAGTCAAAGTCCTGTGGTCATGTGTATAAGTAAATTTGAAGGAAGATGTCCAGAGAAAGTGTTAACACTTCCTGAAAAGCAGGAGTTTACCAACAGTTTTGTTGTTTGTTCCTTTTGCTTATCCTGACGCTAACCCCGGGAGCTGCAGAGCGAGCTGACACAGGTGGCAGCTTTGTCCCTGCTCAGGTTGTTTGCCAGGCACGGTGCGGAGCTGGGCACTTGCTGCCAGTGGGTGAAAAGCACACATTTCTGGTGCTAAGGGCATTTCCTTTCCTCTTCAAACGCTGAAGGGTTGTTTTGTTATCGCAGGTTCACATACTGCCAACTGCAGCTTAAATTACAATGTGCAAAGCAGCACATATTATTCCAGTGTTATAGGCTCTGTTACTACTGATTACAATTTTTAAAGGCTCTTTGAGTGCAGTCCCAGCCCACAGGCAGCTTAAACGCTGAGCTATCCAGTTTTCAGAGCCAAGGACCTAGGCATTGGCTAGATTCAGCTCCCAGTGCAGTGGTAACCACAACCATCTGCTATTACCTGCATTTTTCTTTGCAGTCCCTTACCTGTGTGCTGTCTGTATGTGTTACCCTTCATGGCAAGTTTCAATCGGTTTAGCTCGCTGCCATCCTCACGTGGGTGGGATATTCTCATACGCAATGGAAACATGTTATTTTGGGTTGTTCTCAGCTTGGAGCAGCAGAACAAAATGATTCACTTTTCATCTTTGCCTGTGACATCTGAGCAGCAGAGCAGGGTGGGGAGGAAGATTCTTTTTTCTGTGAGCAATTGAAAAGGATAATGGTATGAGGAATTACGTATTCAACATAGTTATACTCTTCTGCATCTTTAGTGTAGAAAAAGCACAATAAATGCTGTAGTCTGACAAATATTAAGTATTTGAAGTATGTCTGTGTAAGCTTAGGTGCAGCATGTGTAAAGTAGCTATTAGCTTAATAAATGTGTGAAGCTTAATGATGTCTGAGGCTAAAATAATTGTGTTAAGGCAAATAGTATGAAAGATCTGAGAAGTCAAGTGCAAGGCTTCTGTATAGCTGTTTTACAAATACATTTTACAAAAGGAAGTCTAAAAAGAGGAACCAGTGTCTCAGAGTAGCCTCTGTAGTGCCTACTATTCACTGGTTGCTGTGAACAGTGTCTTTATGATCTCCTCTGTGTTGAAAAACGTTTAAATAATCCAGGAGATGAAAAATTAAAATTTTAATTCCATTGCTCTTTTAATCTTCATACCACCTAAATACAAGTGGGACTGGAGGTGGCAACATCGGGAACCCTAAATCAAGCCACAAATCCCTGTAGGAAGGAGGCATCTCCCAGCCTTGACCTCACCTCTGGGCTTTCCATGCCAAAGAATGACCATGGCCATGGGTCCTGTCTGCAGCAGCTATCAGTTCTGTGGCTTTACAGTCTTCTGTTTTCCTAATGTTTTACTACTTTATGTATTCATGTGAGTCCCAGGAGCCTGGCAACACTTGATAACTTACAGACAAGAGTTTCTGTTGAGTCAGATTTCTGAAGTGCAAGCACGTCTTATCCAGCTCTTTCACCTGTGACAGCGCACACAGATAGCACTGTTTGAGGCAAGCTCTTTAGCACATCTCTCTTCACAATATTCTGCTTTTTCAGCAAGATAGGACACACTTTCCTAAGATTCAGACTTTATGCACTGATTACTTCTCTGATACAGCTTAACTTCTCTGGCATTTAACTTTGAAGCCAAATGAAAGAAAATCCAATAAAGATAAATGAGATGTCTATAAAGGATCCAAGAGAAAATACAGTAGAGTCAGCAATGAATTTGAAAATACAGTGTATTGAGAAACTTGAGGATAATGGTTTCTTTATGAGGTTAGATCTCTTTGCAAAGGGTTGGAAGCATTTCAGATAATGAATTGCTTTAGTAGCAATGCTTTTCAAACTGTCATGGCTGTGATTCCATACATGCACCAGTCCAGCTACATAAGTTTTTTGGACTGGATGTATAAAACAGTACTTTGAAAACTACATCAAGTGTTGTGCACTAAGCATCAACCAAGAACAGTTTGGCTTCCTGTCTAATTACTTACAGGAAAGTCATTTAATGTGCTCTCTCATCGACTAAACCTGTTTACCTCTTTTAGGTCTCCTGCTGTCAGTGATGACCAGAAGTTTCTTCTGCTCCTGAGAGACAGGTAGATTGTTTGAACTATTTAATCATAATAGGTGGCCAAAGGTCTTATCAGCCACTTGCACAGTACCCAGTAACGGTCATCTTCAGAAGTGTTCTCAGTATTTTTAATGAATTAATTCTTTCCAGAATGTGTGCTGTCAGTGCTGGCTTTGGTGTGACTTCTTTGGATTCATTATAGTAACAGTGTATTCAGGTGAAGAACCAAAGAGCTGCTTTTAGTTCCTTGCTGGACAATAGATGCTCTGTAAGCAGATGACTAATGAATCAGAACTACAGAAAACAGCATGGATGAACGTTGTTATTTCCAGAGATTTGGCTGAATATTTGCGATTGAGTGGTGGTACACCTATGAGTTAAGGCAAACAAGTTTTACGTACTAAGATCACACGTATTTGCGTTCCATTTTTTCCTCAGTAGGAATGTATTGATGTTCTCATCACATCCACTGTGATGAGAATTTTACTAAATATCAAGCTCTTCTGAGCTCTGTATGCAAGGTCAACATTTTTTGTTGGGCATTTTATTATTGTTTAAAAGAAAAAAAAAAAGAAACAAGTAGACTGTACTCGTATAAGGCATATTCAAAGAGGAAATATTTCATATTTCAAGGTCAACCACTCTTATTGCAGACTGTGACATTTCAGCAGTGAGTCACAATGCTTACGATCTCACTGTGTTTACTCTCATGGCATGTGGCTTGAACAGCTTGCTCCCTGCATGCTATTTTGTAATTCTCTGTCCAATCTTCATATAAATATCCCCAATGCTAGGAATTCTTTCTTTCTTTATAAGCCTGTTTTACAATATCTGTTTAATAAGATTTATGCTCAAGCTGTCATTTCTGATTACGTTACTCTGAGTTTATAAAGCTTCCTTTCCAGTGGTCAACAGTATGAATCTCTGTGTGAATCTTAGTGCATTTCCTTTTTCTTGTAATGCATAAACGTCTGAAAACTGATCAAAACAGCCATCCTTCTTTGATTGTATATTTTATTTCTGCCAAAAGGTTCAAATTTAATGAAAAAGAAATGTTCAATGAGTGTAACACAGATTTTCCAGAAGAAGCAGGCCTATTAAACTTGTTTTGAAAGATGGATGAACACTATTAATTTTAATATATTCTATATATATCTTCTCACTTGACAATTGTTATTTAAAGATTTTGTTCTAGCTTATTGCTGCACTTATGTTGTAGAGTGGTTTCACACCAACACATGGATAAGTAACTTAATTATAAGTGGGCTTAAGCCAAATGTAATGGAAATAATGTTTTCTTACCAGGAATCTGTATAGTCTCAGATACGATAATAACCTGGTTGAGTGGTAGGTATGTATTCCATATGCCACACTGAAGCACAATAGCTTGAATTTTTGAACTTTTTTGAACTTTGCTTTAGATCACATTGCAGAAGCCTTGAGGTTTGTTGCGATGCAGTTTGAAGTCATGACAGGCAGTGTCTGTGCCAACTGTGACATTTTTGGAAGCTCTGCCACAGAGGTTATGATGAACATCTGTATAAATTTGAGCAAAATTATAGATAAAAATTAGAGGGAAATTATAAACAAGGCTGTTCTATTTGTTTATACATGATGAAAAGTTTGTTATTCATATCTCTAACCAATATAAATGTTTGCACTTAATATTTTTTAAGAGTTATAAGACTGCTTGTAACTTCTTAGTCACTCGTGCCATTTGAAATTCACCATCTGTGCAAAGGGCTGTCCTGTATCTGTTAGCAAATCAGAAAGAGGCACAAAACAGCAGTTGGACTGGTTGATGAGGTTGTGCTGACTACTCCACAAACCTCAGTTCATTCACTGAGTAGGTCTGTACCCAGGAAAAAAAATCACTGCCTCATTGGGACTAACTCTGGAGTAATGTGCAATTCAGTGCAAGTAAGGAGTCATAACTTTGGGTTTACAGTCATAAAGCAGGACCTCAGGCTCCTTGCTGAAACTCCTCCACTGGAATCCAATGAAAATCAACACTATAAATCCCAGCTTTCCTGTGGTCACATGCCAGAGGCAGTACATAGGGTGCTGAGCATAACGTATGGTGTAGGATTGCCTTTGATCATTTTGTTGTACTTCCATTTGTCTTTGGTATCCTGTTATAATTGCTACCTAACTAAATCAAAAATTAGTTGGGAGTGGCATAGTGGGAGGAAGTAAAAACCCAACGTCTCTTCTGATCTGAAGGCTGGTGGTATGTAGCTGGTCCTGGAAAATTCCCAGGAGAAAAGTTACTGCAGCTGCACATCATCCAGAAGTTTTACCAAAGCCATCATAAACTGATTGCTTGATATGAATATGGGAAGAGAGAGTCTTTAGAGCTGCTCTGCACAGCTATTCAGAAAAGTCTGCCTAGTCTAGAAGAGTAAAAAGAGATGCTGGTATAAAATATTATAGGGTATTATTTTTAAGATTCTTAATCAGAATAAGTGATAGGTATTGTTCAGCCTGAGCCCTTTGATGCATACTATTGTTAACATTAATTTTAAATCCTTTGAAAAACATCTTCAAAATGTCTATTAAAATATTTAATTGCAAGGTGCTTTTTCTTCTTTTTCTTCTTCATCACTCCCAAATATATTGTTCTTTATCTCAGAAAATGAAGCACTTCTGACTTTGACAGCCCATCCAGGGAAGGGAGACAATCAAACAGTGCAGAAGGGTGAACAGCAGCAAAGCATTCAGAGTCCTGAGACTGAGAGGTTAACTTCTGTGTATTAGAGGATTTGTAGGACTTGGAAAAGAAACTGACTGCTTGTAATTCAGCATTAGTACCTGAAAGCTTCAAGTTATCTTTATTGATTGTAGTTGTTCTCAACGTACCAGCAGAGGGAGAAGGAGTAGAAATATTTACTGGCATCTAACCTGAAGGAGATTCTCCAAACTATGAAGGGTGTTTAAGTACCCAGCTGTCAGTGATTTTTAATGGGAAATAAATAGCTTGCCACTCTTTGGGGCTTTCAGAATTTCCCTTTATGCGTTTATCCTAGTTTTCCCCTTTCCACACTCACTGGATTGATTCTGAAAGATACAAGTCTCCCGTGCCCAGATAATTTAATCGCAGCATGTTGGCTTCCTTCTCCTCTGATGGAGAAGTGGAGGTAGAAGCCATCAGCCAGCATAGGCTCTCAGGGGGAGAGAAATCTGCTGCCACATCATTGCTGAGGGATGGGCACCACGGGACGTGCATGCCAGCGAGATGCCTGGTGCATTGCTCACAGCCAGCGAGCAGCTTTGCACCAGTGCTGAGCCCAGCAGCAAGTCCTCCTGCTTGCTGATACAAAGAGAAGGTCACGGGAGCAAAGAACCCTTATCACTCACAAGGCAGTTTAATGCACAGAGGAGAGGGTCTATCCTTGGAGTTCTGATTACCAGGGAAGCACTGATGGGGAACTGAAGGCAGATGGGAAATTTGAGAGAGGCTGATGATGAAATGACAGGGGCTACTTCTGTAGGAAAGAAAGAAGCCTGGGCAGTGAATTAAGTGTGGTGAACTTTGGAGAGGCAGACCTCGGCAGGCACAGGGAGCTGGGAGGTAGGATCCCTCGGGATGATGATCTAAGGGGTAACAAAAGGCAGGTTCTGAAAGAGATCCTCTCGGCACACAGCAGCATGGGATGGTAGCAGTGTCATGGGAGCCATTTTGGAAGGATTGGGAGCTCTTTTAGGAGCTGAAAACGGAAGAAGTTGTGCAAAAGTGAAGACAGAGACACTTGATGAGAAATGATGGTGAAGGAAAATAAGGGTAAAATGAAAAGCCTAAGGCAAAAAATGTGTTTCATTTAGCAAGATAAAAAGCAGGAGGAGGTAGTGTTATAAATATGTTGGAAATAAGAAGATAGGAGAGAAAATATAGAGTGGCTGCTAGCAAAAGTGTCTAAAGTATCCTGATAACTTGGTTAATTTTGACCAGAGTATAGAATAAGGAGCCAGAACAGAGAGCAAACAGGCAAGAGTTTATTTGGATCTGCTAGATAGGTCAGGGCACAGGATCTGAGGAAATTCTCCTTAGAATTAGAAAGAATTAATCAAACCTATTTTTGAACAAGTAGCAATTATTTTTAACAGCTTGTGGAGCTCAGAGGAGGTCTCAGAACTACCAAAATGCAAATACAGATCCTAAAAATAAACGGGCAAGAAATGCAGTCTAGTGTATTATTGACTGAAAAGCCTAACGAATTCTCAGGAAGATTTTCAAATTAATTAATGAAAAAATCAATCCATAACACTCGGAAGAGGTGACTAAAATCAAAACAAAACAACCATTATGGATTTGTCCGAAGCACATTGTATCAGGTTAGGCTAATTAACTGCCCCGGTGGGTAAAGGGGAGCAAATAGTTACGGTACGCCTTGACTTCTGGGAGAAAGAAACCCCGTGTTTCCGCAGCATCTGCACAAGTAAGCTGGAGAAGCATGTTGATGTGTAGATGCATGTACATAGTGCATCTATGCACGTAGTGTGAGTAAAAACTTCAAAGCTCTTTCCGAAGAGGGAAACTCCATCCAGAGTGTGTTTGCAGGGGGCCATGGAGAAGAGCCGGGTCACCCTGCTGCATGGGGTGTGCTGTGCTTTGGGGTGCTGACACATGAGTGGGGAGATGTTTCCTGCTCCTTTGTTACTGGGTTGGTTTGACGTATTACAAGGTTAGGTAGGGAGAGATTTCTTTACCATTATTGGAAAGTTAGTGACAAAGATTCACTTTACAAAACGATACCCGAGTAAGCTTCAGAAAGGTCTGCTGCTGTACGTAACAGGCAGCATGAAAACAGGGGTAAGCACGAAAACAAAAAAACACCAAAACCCACAAGCAAAACCAAAGGATCAAAATAAAGTTAGTTAGTCAAATCCCATAATTAACTTTAACCTGCTCTAACTAATGACTCGTTATAAGTCGAACCTGCCTGTGACTGCAGTACTGTTCCATCTGAAGGCAAAGCCATTTTTTGTAGCCGGTAACACGATGCACAACGACTAGCAACAAAAATTAGCATCTTGGCAGGGTGATATGAATTCATCCAGAAAATAAAAGGGGTGTCATTGACACCATCTGCTGCACATGAATCAGGACTGAGGAGAGCAGCTGACGCCTGCAGCCATCCATACCGCAGGGTGCTGGGCGGCGAGGCGGAGACCAAGCGCACCGAGGGGCTGCACGGCCAGCGGGCTGGGGCGGCACGGCTGTGGCCAGGCTCCACCAGGAACCCAAACATCTTCCTTCATGCTTGCCATTCTTCCTTTTCTTGTTTCCAGAACCAGGAACTTAGGGGCATGCTGTAAAAGGTAGAGGTGTTGGTGTGATGCTGCCTTCACTGTGGGCTCCCCGGGGGCAGCAGAAAAAGGGCTGCTCAGTGGCTGGGCGCAGTGACAGTGCGAGGGGCTTAACGCCCGCCCCGTAGCAGCCTGGAGACTGCAAAGAAAACAGGATGAGGCCAATGTGGATGTTGGAATCCAGGTTTCTGTATTGCACACCTGTGTCTGCATGTAAAGGAAACCAGAGTGTACGCTAATATCTCAGTGGAACAGGGCTGGACAGCTGCCCTCCAGGACAGCCCCTCCTGCACGTGCTGCAAAGCACAAGTGCTGATGCAGGTTAAGCAGGAGGGCACGTGCTTGCCACGTGGGGAGCCGTAGCCACAGTGTTACTGAGCTGTATTTTCTTCATCTGGAAGAGGAGGCAGCAGCATTTTGGGATGAGAAGCACTCACACAGAGCAGGAGCAGTGGCGTGCAGGCTGCGCCATGGGGCAGTAAGGCACAGGTGGGCACAGCTTGTCCCCTGAGCTCCACTGGTTTCCTGGCCAAGGTGCTGGGAAATCTCCAATCCCAGCCCAAATATCCTGAAGGCCAATTTATATTTACCCTTTCTAAGCAAATATTGTCACAGAATTTGTTTCCCGTCCCTGGCATGTTTGCAAAGAACAAACATTTTCCCCGGAGTCGTCTCTTCTCTGGCAAAACCAGCCGAGTCCTGTTACGCCTCCGTGTTATCTTTAAGGTACTGAGCTAGATTCTGTCAATCTTATTTACATGAAATAAAACTTTACTGCACAGTTGGCTCTTTTAATGTCAACGGGACAGACACAGGGAGAAATAACAAATCGATAGGTCTGCCTCAAAGCCCTGAAGTCAATAGGAATTTTATTTTTACATCATTGCATTTTGGACTGAACCCAGCAGCAGTAGGGATGGGAGGATCTGGGTTTGACAGTTTATATAATGAAATTCTCACAGACACTGAATTCATATGGGTGAAATTGAGCTTGGAGGAAAACAGATGAAGTTCTGGCATTTTAAAATGTAATACCGTTTTCTAATAGTAACTGGCAAGCTGAGTTTTGGGCAGGTTGTGGGAAAAGACGTGCTTTA